CAGAAACTGAATAAAAATACTAGTTTTCTCACCCAAGTAACAAAATATCTTCATGCCCTCTCCTCCAGAACAAAAGAACTCTTGCTAAAAAGAATCTTATAATAAAACGGTTTTCTTTTGCAAGTGAATTTTTCAATTCAAAAAAACTTTACATTCTACTCTTGATGAAGTATTTATTGCCAATCATTCTCTGATTTAAATTTTTTTTTTCAATCAAATTGTGCTTAAATATTAGTCTTGAGTTTTATGGCTGACTCAGTAGTGAACAAATTGATTGCATTTAGATTCAGAATAAAAATGGAATTGTCAACTGGCCAGAAAATTAATCTGAGCATAATCACACCAACAATGTTGGAGCCATTTTGAAGGAAGCATACCTTTGAATAATACCATACTCAATGGCATTTGATACAAGTAATTAACAAAGATTTGGAGAGATTAAAAAAATTAATATACTTAAACTATTTTCACTAGTTTAAAATTAGGTTGAATTTTATAAAGGCCTTTGGCAGAAAATCAGATAAGAAAGTCATAGTATATTGTTTTGATGTTGCTTGCATTAAAGGTTGGTTTTAGTATAACTACATATATGCATTTGTTAACATTATATACTCTTCACATAAATTATTTGTGGGAAGGGCAGGATAAAATAAAATTATTGTAGCAAAAATGAAATGTAGACAGAGCTGCCAACTGCTACTGATAATGGTAGCCACCACTGTTGGTCAAAGTTACAATATTTATTGTACTGTCTTTGCAGAAAGAAATCACATGGCTGCCCCACCAGAACAGAGTTGGTGCAAAACCCCGAGATGACTGGTTCTGAAGAAAGAAATTATCTACCAGCTTCCCCATGAGATAGTCGGGAGTGGTGGTGTATTCCTGTAATCCAGCTACTTGGAGGTGTAGTCACGTAGTCATTTTGAGTGGGGAGGAGGTTGTCTGTTGTACATGGTGTTATGGTGTTAAGGCATCTGCACTAAGACTGGCAGCATGTCGTATTGACCATATAACATGATTGCCATGCATTAACAAAGATTTCTGTCCACGTTACCCAACATTGTTTGAAATTCATTCACTGGTCAAAAACACAATGTTTAGTATGCTGTCCCTGCAGAAAGAAAGCTCATGTCTGTCCTGCCAAAATAGAACAAACTCCAGGATTATGAAGAAAGAAAATATCTACCACATTCGATTCGCCATAAAATAACTGAGATTGGTGATGTTCTCCTGTAATCATCTGCTTAGGGCCATGGTCAGGCAGCCAGTTTGAGTTTGAGGGTTCTGTCGTACATTGCATTATGGCAATCAGACATCCACACTAAGATTGGCAGTGCACAGTGTTGACCATATATGATTGCCATGTGCTATCAAATATTTCTGTTCATGTTACCCATTGTTGTTAGAAATTTGTTCATCCTTGTTTGTGTTTCCAGTGTCTTGGCTGTGTTTGTCCTGTACATGTGGTGTCCTCATGTAGAAGTTTTATTCATGCTTTGCGCATTGTGATCCAGTGTTCAGTGCCTTTAGGTTTAACCCTGTGTTGTGTGGAACACACCTATTCTATAGTTAATAGACTCTCCCACCTATAATAAGTAGGAGTAGTAAGAGTAACGAGGGAGTCGCTCAGTGAGGCGGTCAGTCAGTTGATGCCGGACGACCGTGAGTCGAATACTAAAGCATCAGTGACCACAACTAGATTACTCTGCGTTATACCTATTATATCAAGTTCCTAACGTTTTGCACGTCAAACCTATTTTAGGACCGACTTAGTACAAATACAAGCCTCCACTGTGAAATCACTCCACAACAATTATTTGGTGATGAGGGATTCGGATTCATATGGTAGGAGAGAAAAAAAGTTCGCTCGCCACAATATTATTTGGTGATGAAATTCATACTCATACAGAGGAAAAAGAAAAAAACTTGCACGTCACAATAATTTCGGCGACAAAATCTCGGATTCCCACTTAAAAAAAAAACAAAAAAAACTTGGCAGTTTTTCGAAAGACGTCAACTTTTTTTCTCAATAATACAGTTTGCTCAAATAGGTCACGAATTGCAAATTCGTAGGACCCCCCCCTCTAAAGTATTTAGGCATTGTGTAAATTTTTGCAAAGATGGCAGAATGCAAAAATATATTCCAGGAATTTTTTAAGTTCCAGACAGAACAACAGATTACAATATTAAAGCAACAGAGAACATTCCAGATGCAGCTACAGGAGGAAACTTTTAATAGACAAATGCAGTTTAAACAAGAAATGGAACAGATGCATAGGGAGTTTCAAAACAAAATTCTGGAAATAACTGAGAAGAGGAAGGAGAAAAATCTACAAAATGATTCTTTCCCAGAAAATACAATATGGAATTCAATTGAAATATTCACATTCAGTCCAGATGAAGGAGTATTATAAAAAATATACGGACATGTATAACAAGGACTGCCACTCATGGTCTGATGGAAAGAAGGTTAGGCTTCTTTTACGCAAGTTAGGAACTGCTGAGCATAACAAATTGGTAAACTACATTTTACCAAAAAAAACTGGCGAGTTGACATTTACCGAGGCGGTAAATATATTAAGTGAATTATTTAGTAAAAAGACATCTTTGTTTCACAAGAGGTAGAAATGTTTGAATCTGATGAAAGATGATGAACAAGACTATATAATGTACGCAGCCAATGTGAATAAGCATTATGAAGAATTCAAGCTGGCAGAGTTAAGTGCTGACAATTTTAAGTGCTTAGTGTTTGTTCAGGGACTGGTATCAGAAAGTGACGCAGAGTTGAGAAAATTAGTGCTGGCAAAATTGGAAAACGAGCCAAGGATTACGATACAGAAGTTGGCAGAAGACTGCACAAGATATGTTAGCATAAAGACAGATTTGAAAAAGATAGAACAGTCTGGCGTTTCGCATGTAAGGAAAATACGCTACAAAAAAGAAAGTCAGTCTACCAAAAAGAATTCTAAAACTGCGGATTATCAAACAAAAAGTGAAATACCAGAGAAAAATAAACAAAAACACCCGAAGCCATGTTTTGCTTGCAGTGAACTACACTGGTACAGATATTGCAATTTTAGGAATAAAAAATGTTTCAACTGTAAAAGAGTTGGTCATAAAAGCTTGCACTGCAGGTCAAAAAATAAAGACAATAAAATAAGAAAATTAAAGTCCAACGAGGTGAATGATGGAATAACCAGAAAATTTATTACCATCAAAATAAGTAATAAAAAAATAAAAATGCAACTCGACAATGGTTCCGACCTATCTATCATAAATTTGCATATGTGGAAGAAGTTGGGAAGACAAAGGAAATCGCGAGGTCAATGACTGGAGAAAAAATACAATTTATTGGAGAATTTGTTACAAATGTCACTTACTTAGTACGAATTGGATAACAGAATTCCAATTATGGGATCTACCAATAAATTCTTTCTGTTACAAGGTAGAAAATTTAAACTACGAAGCCCAAAAATTAGTAAAGAAACTTAAGGGAACATTTCCTACTGTTTTTTCTCCAGGTTTGGGAACGTGTACCAAGATGGAGGCAAAATTCCAGCTAAAAGAAAATGCTCAGGCGGTATTCAAAAAGAAAAAGAATGTGCTGTTTGCTTCAATTGAACAGATAGATAAAGAATACCGGTGTATTTAAAAAAAATTGAATGGGTAACACTGACGACATACATGAAAAAAAAAAAAAAACTCCAGAAAGTAAAGATGAAGCCGACACCAAGAAAAACTGGGGAGTGAGTTATCCATAGCCAAGGACAGGCAGTATTATTAAATGATTTAAGTCAACTGAAGTCACCACAGAAAACGTTAAGAAGCACAAGATCAACAAAAGGGAAGCTAGAGGCTGAACAAATAGAACCACAAGAAGAACCTACAGAAACTGTGACTCCATCCTTAAGAAGCTCAAAGCGGAAGGTTGTTTCTGGTAACACTATGGAGGTACCAAAAAATAGAAAAGCGGATTGGCAATATGATGTACTTGGTGAAAGGTGAAAAATTCACATGCAGTAACCAGATCAGATGACGTTTTCCAGACGTGGTTGACAGCAAAAAAAATGGAAGAAACGCTAATGGAGGTGATTTTCAATACGTTGATCTAACAACGCCTGCAACAATTTTACCTGTGGTACGCCGATCCAGGAGAAAAAGAAAGGCAACTGATCATTTAAAAGTGGATCAAAAACATAGAAGATATGCTACGATATTGCTAAAAAAAAAATGTTGCTTTTTTTTTTTTTTTTTTTTTTTTTTTTTCTCTTTCTTCATATTGAAAAAAAAATAAAGAAAGAAAACTGTTTACTCCTACAGAGTAAAATTTTAGGGGGGGGGATGTTATAGTGGAACACACCTATTCTATAGTTAATAGACTCTCCCACCTATAATAAGTAGGAGTAGTAATAGTAACGAGGGAGTCACTCAGTGAGGCGGTCAGTCAGTCGATGGCGGATGACCGTGAGTCGAATACTAAAGTATCAGTGACCACAGCTAGACTACTCTGCATTATACCTATTATATCACATTCCTAACGTTTTGTACATCGAACCTATTTTAAGACTGACAGTACAAATACAAGCCTCCACTGTGAAATCACTCAACAACAAACCCTAACCCTGATACCCAACCAATAAGAAGAAAATACTTAAATTATGAAAAAAAAAAAACGTATTAAACAAGAATGTTTATAGTTCTACCTCAGGCTGTGTGTACTAACTTTACTTCATGGTGCTAGATTTTAGAATGTATACCTAATACAAATATATTAATTTTTGCTGTAACATCTTAAGTAAACTAGGTAGTAAGAAAGGCCAACACGGTCAATATGAATGGAAATAGATTAAATAGAAAAAGAAAGAAGAAAAAAAATCATCCTTGCTTTCACCTGCAAAAATAGATAACCTGAAAACCATTTAAATTTTAACTGATGAAATTACAGAATTTAGACAAAGACTGAGGAAAGAAGAAAATGTGACCAAAAATCAGATACTCACCCACAGTCCTGCCTGTGCAAATGCATAAGGCATAGCCAAGATACCAGTACCAATATTTCCCTTTAAAAAGTTCATCAGACTTGACATATTGCTATTAAAAGAAAAAGAAAATTTAAAAGAAAGACAAAATTAGCAGTTACAGATCATTCTGACTTTTTCAGACAAAGTTAAATAAAAAATGTAACAAACAAATGATGACTGTAAGGAAAAAAGCTAGGAGGCTAATTTACAAATGTGAGGTAAATGGTGTAAATTAACAGCATTTTAAAAAAAGTTGTAGCCATTATTATACAAACAATTTAGGAAAAAAAATTTTCTTTATTCATATTTCATTCCTTCGAACTCATTATCTAACAACTAGTATTATCAACATAGAAATGCTAATAAATCTTTTGATAGTTTAATTTGATAACTGAAACAATATTTCCTTATTGGGCTTAACAACATGTCCCAATGCTACCAAGAAAAAGTAAACAAGGTTTTTTTTCAATGTTTATTGGATATTTCCAACAGTTGAGCAATATCAAATTTCAGTTAATAATATTTCAAATAACACACCAAACAGTTGCAGCAATAAAGTTAATCTTTTAATAACGGAAAGGGCAAAAATTAAACTTACGACGTAGCATTGTCCATGAGTTCTCGACTTCGAACATTTATACTGGCTGGTATTGTCTCAGTATTGAGGTTATCATCATCATCATTATTATTCTCAATTTGTTCTGGGCAAAGATTTTCTTGAGACATGGTTTTCATATGGACAGAATTTTTCAATTTGGTAACTGGAAAATGAAAATATTTGCATTGCTATCAATTTTGATTTTAAGTATCTAAAAGTGCCAAAAGTTGAACAGGAATTTTATCTTTACAAGGAATTATATAAGGAATCATTTTCACACTTAGCAAGTAAATTTTTAAATTGGATATTGTCACAGGCAACATAAATGCTATTTGTTGTGGTGTTTGGCTGTGGAAATTGTGCAATATGCACATTGGTTTCTTGATGTGCAAAGTTATTAACCAAACTTTGCTAAAATTACTCTTTTTCTATTAAATACAATGAAATAGACTCCAGCAAATAGAAAAACGTAACTTCAAAAAAATAAAAATCAATAATGCTTTCTTTATGCTGCAAGATTTGAATCTTTCATAAAAGAAAAGCAAAACTGATAGCAAAGAAAAAGTCAATTTATAAAAGTTTAAGAACTCTTTCTTACTCATAATTAAATTGGATGCCATAAAGTAGACGACATTTTTTTTCTTCTTCAATTTGAAAATCTCAGAAATCAAACTTCAACCCACAAAACCAAAATGATGGACACATTTAACAATTAAATATCATAAACTTTCTGATAAGAGGAAAACCTGTATAGACTTTCTGCAAATGAAGTGACTTTTATTGCAATAAAGAGGGAAAAAAGTAACATCAAAACAAAAGCTGAAACAGGAATTTTAAGATGGGAAAAATTACTAAAATGGGTTGGTAATTGAACAAATTTTTATTTATTGCCCTTCTTTAATGTATTTTCTATTTTAACAGAATTTTGCAGCACTTCAACATGGCCAACCAAGGCTCTCCACAATTTCCTACCCTAAATAGCTCTTTTTTGCTATCTCTGCTAATCCCTGTTCTGCCAACCATTTTTAGGCAGGTTATGTGCTGCTTTCCTCTGACCCACTTGCCTTCAATATGTCCTGCCAGTGTAAAATTTTCTATGCCCTCTTTCCCCATTATGTGTCCTATGAAATTCAACAGCCTCTTTCTGATGCTAAGTATAAATGTCCTGGTTTCCATTTTTCCTAAAACATGGTCATTGCCCACATGTTCTATCCATGGTATTCTCAGCATCCTTTTGTAAAACCACATTTCTGTTGCCTCAAGTCTCTTCATCATCTGTGATAAGATTGCCCAGCATTCACTGCTATATAAGTAGACCAATATTACCTAACAGTTCAGTACCCTTTGTTCCTAACAAAATTTTCATGTTTCTTAATACTTTACTTAAATTTTGGAAGCATCTTTTGCTATCCCAATGCACCTTCCAAATTCAGGGTCTCATTTTTCATATTTTGTTAAAAGGACTTCTTATATATTTTAATTTTTGCATCTAATTGATTTTGGTATATCCATTTTTTAATTTTCAGGAGTTGCTGTAGTTTCCTTTCTATGTCTGCTATCAATGCTATCATTTGCATCTCTAATGTTGTTAAGATTATGGACACCAATTCTGGCAGGACTTCTAATTCTCTCAGGTTTTCTTCACTCTAAAAATTGAGTTTGGTGAGAAGACACATCCTTGTCTTATGCTTTTTTCTATTTGTGTTTACTTACTGAATTTATTTTCTAACCATATGCAGACAGTGAGGTTGCTCCCAGTATAAGTTCTGTACAGCTTTTCATCCTACATGAGGGATGCTCCCCTCTCAATCTTCTTCAAGCATGCTGCCTCCAAAACGACTACCCTTGTCTATGAATGGATCCTTTCTGGAATGGAGGTTTATAACCACAAAAACTTCCAGTAAAAACCAGTCACTCTTGGTTCGCTCCTGAATGTGCTGCAGCCATAACTCACTGGAACCACTACTTCGATATATCTATCACAAGGAGCGAAGTAGTTTAACCCTTGCTGCATACAGAATTGCCCACAATCACTGCAAAAAGTTCCAGAAAATGACAAGTGCAGCTACATACATGCAGTGCAGACCAAGGTTGAAAAGAAACAAATTGGATATCACAAATTCTGGAAATCAAACAAATCATGAACAGAAATAAAGTAGCTGTGCCCACAATTATAAATGGCCCTGAGGTCATATCTTCCTTCACAGACAAGCTATTCGCCTCAATCTTTCCCTCAAATGACAAAGACCATCATCTCTACAGCTTTCTACAGCTCACTGAGCACAATCTCAGTAATATTACCATTACAGCACAAGAAATCTCTAGACTTATCAAAAACCTTGACCCTAAGAAAGCCACTGACGCAGACAAAATTCCAGTGATTGTCTTTAAGAATATCAACCTGGAATTATCCCTAATTTTAGCAAAGTTATTCAACCACTGCTTGAAGGAAAAATTATTCCTAAGCCTGTGAAAGGTGTCAAATGTATGCCCAATTTTCAAGAACGTGAGCATGCAATCTTCCTCCTCCCAATACAGATCCATCAGTCTCCTCAGTAAGGTTTTTGAGAGTATAATCAATGAGAACCTCTTCAGTAATGAGCAGTACAAGTTTGAAACAGCCTGATCTACTGTCAATGTCCTACCAACACCCACAGAATTAGTGAGGCTCTTGACAACAAACACCTCGAGGACTATAGCATTAGATGTCTCAAAGGCCTTTGACAAAGTGTGGGACAAAAGTTTACTACACAAGATCTCCATCTATGGAATCACTGGAAGAGTCTTCTCAATCATAAAATCCTTCCTAACCAGTAGATCACTGAAGGTAGTTATCAATGGCAAGTCCTCTGGAGCCCTAGAGGTCAATGTAGGCGTCCCCCAGGAGGTCACTCCTCAGACCAACCCTTTTTTTGAACTCCATAAATGATCTACCTAAGAATATACTCAGATCATTTATCTATGCCAATGATACAACTATACACAAGCACACCTCTAAAACTTGATGATCAGAGCCTGGCAACTCTTCTGATACAGCACAAACTGCCCAGTGGAGTAAAAACAGACTGGTTACATTCAATGCCTCAAAAACCAAACTAGTTACATTCCATCATTGCCAATCAAACCTTAAACAGAACAGATGTCTCCTGAGGGAGGCACCATGCCTTGAGAGACCGTTGGGCCTTAAACTCACATCTGACCTCAAGTGGAACGCATACATATGATCCATTGCTGAAGATGCAGGTAAAATGACTGGCTCTCTGTACCGCTCCAGTAAGTACCTGACTCCACATGCTATCCTCTACCTTTATAAGAGCCAGATCAGGCCAAAAATAGAGTACTGTTGTCATATTTGGGAGGGAACTGCCCAGACTGCACTCTCTAGCCTTCAGAGAGTCCAAAAGTGTCTCCAAGTACTTGTCGGTGACAAATTATTCTCTACCCTCCAACCTCTCTCTCACAGATGGGATGTGGCAAGCCTCTCACTACTCTATTGCTACTTCCATGGAAAGTGCTCAGACAAACTGCATTCCTTGCTTCTTCCAGTTCAAACCTTCACAGCATGGACATGCCATGCCATGCCACTTACATTGTAGCAAACCACCCACATTCCCTCCATATTCCATCAGTAAGAAGTAAGTTCCACTCAAACAGCTTCTTCCTGTGAATCACTGCTCTCTGGAACCAACTCCCAAAAAGATGTTTCCCCAATCACTACAATCTTAACCTGTTCAAGTCTAGAGTCAACCATTATCTTCCCCTCCTATCCACACAAATTCCCTCTTAACATAAGCTTCTACCTCGAGTGGCCCCAGATACAGATTTTTTTTACTATAAAAAAAAAAAAAAAAAAAAAAAATTCTAATATCTTTCCCAAATAAATCCAGCCGTTTTTCATAATGTACTTTATCAAACACTTTTGCATAATCTATAAAACATAGGCATACTTTTGTATTTATATTGCTTTCTGATTTCATTCCAAGCATAAATATCACATTCCTTATTCCAGTATCTTTAATGAAACTGCACTGTTTTTGTCCTATTTTAGGTTTAATTCTGCTGCACACTATTCATCAGAAGTTGAATGATGAGTTTTTTATAGGACTCATTAGGCTCATTGTCTAATGGAGTTCACATTCACCAGGCTTCTTTAGTAGTGCTATGAAAATGCATCTGTCGTATGTCCAGAAGTCGCTTTCTGTCTGCAATCCGTCTAGTCTCGCCGAAGCCTAGAAAAGCAGTGGCCTCCCACGTCCACTCGCCGGGTTTTTAATCGGTGGCGTGGTTCTCTTATGCAAATAAGTCTGCTGCATAAAAATGGCAGTAGGCGCCGTGCGACCGACTCTCAGAGAATGGTTCGACACGCGAGGCAACGAATTCGCTTTGCTCCTGGTAAGTCACTGTCACTCCTATTACACTCCCCCTGATCGTATGATCACATAAGTGACAGTGAGGGGCTGGTCGTTTCACCCTTGCACTTCTTCGCGGTGGTATAACCATGACTTCCTCCCGGCTGAATCGTCAGATGTGTCCTGGTCTGAATCATATTCGGGGATCATTAAGGTTCAAGTCTACTTCTTTCTCGCTTTCAGATGAGGTGTCGCTGCTGCTTGCACTGGAGCTTGGTTCTTGCCATTCATTACTCCCTGACGTTGTGCCACCGCCATCATCCGTTGGTAACAATGAAGTGAGCCGTGGGCGTACATCTCCCGTGTCGCGGTATCCCGTCGATGACTACAGACTGCGGACTGTTTATTCCCGTGACGACCTTTCACAAACTTTGGCGTGCAGCGTCCGTGCGGATTTTTACCCAAACTGCGTCTCCTTCTTTATACCGAGTCAAAGTCGCCGGTTAGGCGAAGGTACAATGTCAATTCCTTTTATTCGAATTCTGTACAAATGCAGCAGATTGGCGGGCGCAGAAGAGGCAGACACATCATCCCTGGGTGTAACATTATACCAATACACGGCCTCCATAATAGAGCAGCTCTTTGGCGCAGCAATCCGTTTGATTGTCCGATGACACCTCTCTACAATACCATTTCCAGATGGTTTGTGCAGCGCAGCCGGTCGGAATCGGACGCCCCATTCTTCCATGAATTGTTTAAATTGCTGACTGCGGAATGCAGTGTCATTATCAGCCAGGATTTCTACCGGGGCACC